ACGCACTGCTAGCCTAAACACCACGAGGTAGTAAGTGACAACATTTATATCCTTATGCATATATGTATGGATATATATGTATATATATAGGCCACGTTTTTCTTAAAATATGCAGATGATGGAATATCTATCTAATAGTTCATACCTAGCTCAAACAAATTTATCGAAAACAACTTTAGCATTTGTTTCCATTTTCGTTGCCTTATTTAATATTATTAAAATTTGTGGAAAACGATTTTTGGGTTATCTAAAACTTTTGGCTAAACGCGTAATTTCTAAATAACCTCCGATCGGGCTCAAATTTTATATTTCATAATTCTGCAACCAACATCACGTGTTTAAATGGTATCCTAATTAAAAAGTCGTTTTTTTTTGCCTTCATACAAATTATGTTCTCCTTATTATATACATTTATTTATATATATATACGTTTATTTCGGAAAAAAGGATCTGCTACGTTTTTGGACTTGAAGATTTGGAATCCCGGGGCTATTTCCAACAAATTTGCATTATCAGAAAGTTGGTACGTTTTCGAAAATCCTATTCGTGCTTGAAGACAACTGTGAAATGTCATTTTTGTCGCAACGCCGATTTAGGCGGTTTTGCTACACACAGAAAAAGTCAGCTAAATAAATTTCTGTCAACACATCATTCGGTAACTATAACCAAATAATGTAATTATAACTAAATCATGTGTTGAAGAAAACATGTTTAGTTGACGTAACTAAACTCTTTTCTCAGTGTACTGGTCGATGGGCGGTTTTGCGAAACCGCGACGATATGTATATTTTTGCAAACAACGACGATTTGTATATTCTACAACAATAGTTTCAGTAATTTTGATAAAAAATTTCACGAAACCGTTCAAACACGGTTTATAATATCCGGATATTCGGATTTTATCCGTATACGCCAATATCCGAACAGATAATCGGATATCAAAACATGCGGATAGTGCCAGCCCTAGTGGAAACAGATATACATAAGAATGTGTGTAAGTACGTAGCATTTATTTTTCCTTTCTTATTTTGTTCAGCGAGCAGAGTTAGCTATCACTGACTTGACAATAACATCGGAGCGTGAAGAAATTATTGACTTTTCAATACCTTTCATGAATTTGGGTGAGTGTTGAATGAATAAGTTTTTCTCAACCGCGCATTGGTAAAAACTGAGCAAAATACTTTCATTAATATATCTCCATATTTAGGTATCGCGATTTTGTATATTAAACCTCAAAAAGCACCACCAGAACTTTTCTCATTCATGGATCCTTTCTCTGGCGAAGTTTGGATCTACTTGGGACTGGTATACATTGGAGTATCCTTTTGCTTTTTCATATTAGGACGCCTATCTCCAACAGAGTGGGATAATCCATATCCATGTATTGAAGAGCCTGAAGAATTAGAGAACCAATTTACGCTAAATAACTCATTTTGGTTTACGACAGGCGCTTTTTTACAGCAAGGTTCTGAGATAGCACCTAAGTATAGTTATAGTTGTCACATTTATTTGCCCTTTTTTTTAATATATATAATATATTTTCATATAATAAAGATCGCTCTCCACACGCACTCTTGCGTCCATTTGGTGGTTCTTCACTCTCATTATACTCTCCTCGTACACGGCTAACTTGGCTGCTTTCCTTACCATCGAAAATCCTGTTGGACTTATTGATAATGTCGAGGATTTGGCGGAAAATAAGGGCGGCGTTGAGTATGGTGCTAAACTGACTGGTTCTACGAGAAATTTCTTTGCGGTATGTGTTAAAAATAATTGCATGTACATATGTATATAACAAAAGGGATCAAGTTTGAAAGGGTTAAAAATTGTATGGCCTTATTCATAAAAAATAAATTAGCTTTAAAAAAGGTTTATAAATTGAAAAATTTATGAAAACGTCACTTTGTAAAGCTCTTTAAACCTACTTTATTTTTTATGAATAAAGCCATTAGAATACATATACTGATTATCAGGTGAACTAGTATTTATTAGAAAATTAATTCGATTTCAAGACATTTTTTAACGGCATCTCAAAACCGACGCTCTCTCAGTCAGACACCACTGGCATCATATCAAATTTCAACCGGTCGAGCACTGTATTAAATTTACATATATTATTACTTTCTAAAATATCGTTTTTTAGACCTCCGACCATGAAGTGTATAAGAAAATGAATGAATTTATGATCAAAAATCCGCACCTACTTTTCAAGACCAATCAAGAAGGAGTAGAACGTGTTAAATCTAGTACCACGTATGCTTTTCTAATGGAATCCACATCCATTGAATACAATATTGTACGAGAGTGTAATTTGATGAAAATTGGAGAACCACTCGACGAAAAGGGATACGGAATCGCCATGGTAAAAAGTAAGTTGTACGCCTGAAGGCGGATCTCCATAGCATGCGTATACAATGCGTGCGTTTTACAGAAAAATTTAATATACAAATTTTTATGGCAGCACCTATGTATGTACATACATAACAACGCATGAAAATGTAAAAAAGTTGTATCAATTTTGACACACCTTACCTTATTTCACAAAGGCCATAACTAGGGTTGCCAACATTTTTTAAGAAATTTATAGTACTTTTTCGAAAAAAATCTGAAAAAATATAGTACACTTCAAATATATTTATTTAGTATTTTTTTTTAAAGAAAAAGTAAAAATGCTTTTTGAGTGTACATCTTTTTGCTTTCTTATGCATTTTCTCTATAAATAAATATATTTCTTTGAAAGTATCGTATGCTTTATCGCTATTAATATTTAAATTAATATAAATCAAAAGTTAATTTTTTTATAAGTGAGATATTCGCTTTATTTCTCTCATCTCACCATTTCAAAATCTTAATAGAAAAAACTTTCTGTGAATGCCGAAGTTGCAGGAATAGAGAGCATAAGCGAAATAATTTTAAGTAAATTTGGTAAATCTTTCTAAGTATTTTTTAAAAATGTTGCCATTTTTGTTTTAAATTATATTTATTTTAATATTGATATTTCAGTATAAATGTCATCCATTTTAAAACGTTTCTTTCTTACAAATGACTGCAATATATTTATATTTATAATCGAAGAAATATAATATTTTTGCATACATACTATATTTTTCTCCAACAGTATATATAGTACGCAGACCCAAAAAGTAGTGCAATACTATATATTATAGTACGGTTGGCAAACTTTTCGTTCACAGATTTTGGTAGGATGTATTAAAATACACCTTCAGTAAAAATTTTAAAGTGGTAGTACCAAAAACATGTCACTTTTTAAAAAGGCTTGCCTTTTTTATACCCGACCGCACTTGTATATTAACTTTGTTCTCATAACGGTTGTTTGTAACAGCGAAAACTAATAGAGATAGATATGTACAAATGTATACATAAATGATCAAAATGAATAGAGAAGTCGATTAAGCCATGTATGTCTGTCCGTCCGTCTGTCCGTGTACACGATAACTCGAGCAAAATTGAGATATCTTAACAAAATTTGATATGTAGGTTGCCCTTTATCCAAGGTATGTTGGTATTGAAAATGGGCGAAGTCGGATTGTTATCACGCCCACTTCCCATATAACGGTATTTTCGAAAAATGCAAAAACTGAGATATTTCAGTAAATATTAGATGCAAATTGTTGAAAATTAGTATTTGTATTAGAACTGTGGTAAGAAATAATATTATTATGAAATTTTTGGAAAATGGGCGAGACTCCGCCCACTTATGATGAAATGCCGTATCTCAGTAGCCGTTTCACCAATCCTTACCAAACTCGGTACGAGGCTTGGGTAGGGTCTAGCTAAGAAATCTGTTGAAAATCTTTAAAATCGGGCAATAACCACGCCCACCTGCCATATAACGGTAATTTACAGAAAAATCGATAACTACAATGACCACTTAGCAGAAAATTATATTATTATACATATTTGGATAATGGGCATGGCGCCGCCCCCTTGTGACCACAAATGTGTATCTCGGTAACCGATTAATCAATTTCTACCAAACTCGGTGCACTTAATAACCTTGGTATGGAAAAGCGATTTGTTGAAAATTGTTCAAATCGGACTAAAATTACACCCGTATAAGGGGTAAATTTCAGAAATCCCAAAAACTTCGATATTTCAATAACTGAGGACGCTAATTTACTTCAAGTTAATAGTTACAACATTCTCCCAACAATAAATAACTGCTATAGACTTTTAGGAATCGGGCGTAGCACCGCCCACTTTATAACTACAAAGGTGTACCTCGGTAATCACTTAATCGATTTGTACCTAACTGGGTTCAATTATATCATTAAGTCTAACTCTGTATATTATAGAAAACGTTTGAAATCGGGGAAAAACACACCTGCTTATCATGCAAAGGTAGGTCCGAGAGAGTTGAACCGCCGGGTATATAAAGTTCGGTTTCGCTCGAACTTATACTCCTTTACTTGTTTGATACTCTTTTTATAATCAGCCTTCATTTTCCCCGAACCGGTTCACTTTTCACTCTTGATTTCCATGGTTTTACTATGGGCGGATGACAAATTTTCGGATGAACTTTTTTTAAGGCGATACTCAGGATAAGGCAGAATATTTTCTTGCTGCTCCTGTGAAATAAAATATTTTTTGGTTAGGGCCTTTGTGAATTAAGGTAACGGTACCTTTACAATGTTTGCATTATTCAGGGTGGTATTCAAAATTAATTTCAACATACTGTTTTTACAGACTGGCCCTATCGCGACAAATTTAACAACGCATTGCTGGAACTTCAAGAGCAAGGTGTTTTATCGCGCTTAAAGAACAAATGGTGGAACGAAGTGGGAGCTGGAGTTTGTAATGTAAGCGTACATTGTAATAAAAAAAAATAAATTATTTTAGAATGTAAAATGAAATATGTATCTTTTTTACATTTTTATAGAAAAAATCCAATAGTGGTGAAGTCGAAGCTTTGGACTTAAGCAATTTGGGCGGTGTATATCTGGTGCTGGGAGTTGGAAGTGGTATTTCTCTTGTGTATGGTGTAATAATGTGGTGCATACATGTGGCGCGAAAAGCCAGCTACTATGAGGTACATATGTGAATAAAGCCGTCTATTAATTCGAAATTACCTTTAAAGCGTTCATTTTGCTTTGACCCTACTAGGCACCTTTTATCGCCGCCTTTTGGGAAGAATGCCGGATTGCAGTAGACTTTTCAAATAATGAACGCTTGCTCAAGACTCCACAGTCGGTATATTCCCGTAGCCGAAATTCGCTTGTTTCAATTGATTCAATAGAAACGGACTCAGAATTTGAAGATAATTTAGACAGTGATGGATGATTCATAAAAATACATACATATGTTCACTTCGTATAAGAGTTTAATATCATAGCTAGATAATATGCTAATCTGGATAAACGGCGCAGTTGTTTCTACCCTAACCGAAGGTAGCGTCGCGGATTTCGCTGGCCACGGCCAAAAAAGTTTTTATTGAGTTTTTTCTATAGTTTCTTAAATTATTATCATGCTTTCTTTTTCAATAAGATTATAATCTAAACAATTTAACTAAGATAAAATGCGAAAAAATAAAATAAAAGAAAGCAAATAATGTAAGTTGTTGAATGTACTTGCTTCATGCATTTACTTTTTTTTATTTTTCATTTTTTTTATTTCAATCCCACTGCACTGAAATCTGAGATTTCCATCGCATTTCTCTGGATTTCGTTGACATTTGCTAATATGTTTTTGTGTCTGTGTGCTTTTGTTTATGTAGAGAATTTTGATATTTCAAGTGAGGCATGATACAAATAAAATTATAGTTTAAAAAACTAAAACCTCCCTATTATAATTGCCATTCGTACTGTCATCAGGTATGTAACTTGAGAATAGAAATCGCTGCATCTTTTAGACGCATCAATATTACATAGTTACAACCTGAGCTAATAAAAGGAAGGTAAAAAGAAGGTACAGTAAAACCCGCTTAAGTACCTCACGAAAAATTTCAGCTTTTTGCGGTACTTAGGCGGGTTGGGCACTTAAAAGAACCGAGTACCTCGATGCGGGTACTTAAGCGGACATAATTTGTGATGTAGTTACATCTTCTAGTTAACTTACATAAATAAGTCCTTGAATGAAACATGAACATTTAATGAAGTATACTATAATTTAAAACCAAGATCGTAGCATTATTTAAACAAGTAAACATATAAAGGAAACCTTTGTTAAAAAACAGATACAGCAATGTTATGTAATTTTCACAATAATTAAATCAAAAAGCCATTGATTATACATATACACAAACAGGGCATATCATTTTGAACCAAATTCAAAACGATATTGTGTGCCACTTATGTTAATTTTTAAATTTTTAAAATTTTTCAATTAAACAAAATTCATTCCCTAACAAATTTCATAGAAACTTAAAATTTTGCAGGAGACTGAAAAAAATTTCATCACAATTTCAAACTTGTTTTTCAGAAGTGTTAAATATTTTTATGAGTATGCAGTTTTATAGCCCATTCAATTCTAGTGTAATAATGCGCAAGTTTCCAGTGGTTAAGAATTACCATTAATTTTTTAGAATTTTCTGCCGAAGTTGTGTAGCGCTGACACTGAATTTCAAATTATGAAAATGTTTGAAGAATTTTAAAAAAAGCACTTAAAAGGGGAAAATTATAAGTAAAATGGTAAATGGGGTACGAAAAATGTAGGTACTTAGGCGGCTTGGGTACATAAGCGGGGAGGTACTTAAAAGAGGGATTTTCTTCAGAATACTTTAAAAAATTCACGGTGCCCAAAAATGTTGGGAACCTAAGCGGGTTAGGTACTTAAGCGTGGGATATACTTAAGCGGGTTTCAGATTTTTGACATTTCTCCAGATGCAAACGTTAAGCATAGCTTTGCCACATCGAAATTTTTTGAGAGGGGAAATTTTCTTTTAAATATTTGGGATTTAATAAAAGAGTAAAATTTACATACAAAAAATAGCAAGTTCATGTGTTCGATAATCAAATTTGAACGTTTTTCTCAAGCGTTTTAAAGATCCTTTGAATTATATCGATATGCAGAAATGAAGTAATAAAATAAAATCCAGTTTTGAAACATTTATTTATTAAAAAGTTTTTTTTTCATTTTATTTTAAACAAAATAAATAAACAAAACAAAACTGTTTTCTTTAATAGTCTGAAGAAGATGTATTGATAGATATTTCGTCATTAAAGCACAGTCCGAAACAGGCTTCGGAGAAGGTTGTATGGGCTCATTGCCTCACAATTAAACGAGTCATAATTCAGAATTCTCCCGAAGTGCAGTATTCAGAAGTAATTCAGGATACAAAACTGTCGTGTAAATCTAACGTGGAACACAAAACCTCCAAAGAATTGGCAGCATTTTGGCAATGTAGGCAGGTCTTTGGCAAAACGTGGGGTGTGTCACCAAAGGGAATCCTCTGGATTTATACCTCTTTGATCAGACCCATAATTATCTATGCGTCAGTGGTATAGTGGAGCAATCAAGAGCGCGGGAAGTCTGCTTGCTAAACTTCAAAGAACTACTGTCGTGTGCTGTCCTGAAGATTTCTCTACAATGCGTGGCGCTGCTCTTGATGCACTGCTGCACTTACCGTCACCTTGTGTCTTCATACGAGGGTAAGCTTTAAAGGCCACATGCAGACTAAAAAGAAACGGATGCTGGTATAACACTGAGTGGGGCAAGGCGGAAATTGCTAGCGGCAGATATGTGAGCACTTGTGTCTTTTCAATGTCACAGGATAGTACGCAACCTTTACCTTTGTTGAAGAGATTCTATAATGTTTAGTTCCCTGCGGCTGAATGCTGGTTTAATACCAGACTGAGCCCGGAATCACACATAATCGAATCTTCAATGATGGCTCCAAAACTGACTCTCTATTGGATTTTCTCTGTGGAAGTATGCCTCGGTCTTCCAGGCTGAGGTGTTTGCAGTGACAGCTAAACTGCACATAAGGCATTGGGCAGCCCTCTAACTACTTACCTCCAAACTCCATATCGTCCATAACTATAATATCTATCATAGCACGAAGCACCGAAATTAAAGCCTTACCTTTGCAAATCACATCCAAACCCTTTACGGTGACTAGCTTTAGAAGAAACTAATGTAATAATAGCTAATTTTTGCGGTGGACAACATATTTACCGGTCTTTTATTTCAAAGAAAAACACAATGAAACTACCTTCTTTTTTATATTAGGTTTGTTCGTCGAGCAAAAAATTTGTACGAATTTGTACGAATTATCACGATTTTTGCCCAAATCGCGTTCGTGCAGACCAAAAAATTATCCAACACTCAAAAATTGTGAGAGCAAAGTGACAGTTCTCTTGGAGAGAAGTTGCAAATTCTTGCTGGAAAAAATTTTGCCAGCAGAATTTGCAAACACGAAAAACATGTGGTTGTGGCGCATGGTTGCATTTTTGTCTACAATAATTTGAATAAATTAGTTCGTTAAATTTAAAAATTTATAAACACGAGCGATTTTTTATGAAAAAAGGAAGCAAATAATTGTTGATATAATTAATTTAGCTAATTCCAATGATTTGAACTTAATTCGGCTGAAAAAAATGGTATTCGCAATAGGAATGCAATTGCAACCAGAGTCGATTTAAGAAACCCGACAGCTAGTACGATGAAGAAATTGAAATGTATGTTAAAGAAAGTCAGAACAAGAAATATACATGTATATCCTGTTTTTGGCCATCCGAAAGAATTTTAAAAATTCTATACAAATTTTTTATGTTTGAAATGCAACCGTGGACGCCAGCTGGCAGGGAAACTTGCAAATTCCTGCAAATTTGCGTTCGTGCAGAAAT